TGAAAACCTCCACCTTATCTTTTTTCACATTCTCCGCCATCTCCACTTCCTCTTGAGAGCTTGAGGGTGTCTGTCGAACTTTCTTTAGCTGCTTCACTGCGACTCTGTTTGCCTTCCACGTCTGTTTAACTTCTGGAGTCCACCATGGGGGCTGAAGAAAATTAGTTCTGGCAGTCCTGTTGCATGCTCCCTGTCTGAGGCGTCCAAGTAGGCTGTTGGTCTACTTATACTGGAAGGTCTTAAGTGCTCTCCCAGCCTTAATCTTACTGAGTTTAGAAATCAAGACTGAACATGGTAAGTGATCACTCCCATGGTCATTTAGGACAGTCCATTTAACATCTAAAACTGACGACTGGGGGATAAATGTCAAGTCAATGGCTGTGTCTGCATCGCCAGACCTCACTGCCATTCTAGTCAGCCTCCCATCGCTGTTTTATTGTTCCACAAATCTCAATAATAAAACAGACAGTTTTGAATGTAGTCAATTTTGTGTTTCAATTTAAAGGACTCATTTATTTGCTATTTTTAATCAATTGTTTCAGTAGTATGCACCAGATGAGGTGCAACGAAATATACCAGTCAATACATTGTGCACTCTACTGTTTGTGTCTTCTTTGTTCAAATTCACAATGGGGAAACACTGCTTCATTAGTATATGTCCAGTTCTCATACAAGACAAAGAAACTAGCCATGGGTAACTAAGACCTGGTAATACCTGACAGAACAAAAATTACACCTAGGAAATAGAAAAAGTGTCAAATTCTCACTTAACAAGGAATATTCTGCCCTTCTGACTCTTGCCAGTAAAGTGATAACCCAGAAAAGAAAGCTCAGACATGATGGCCACACAAACACACACACACACAAAAACATGACTTGGGGGTGGGGGTTTCCACACCTATAGACACATGTAAACCAGATGGTCCAGCTTGAGAACATGTAATCAGAATGTAGGCAGTCAATAACTTAATGACAGACACAGAGAGGGAGGTTTTTAGCATGAAAGTACCTCAGTGTTACAGCTTCTCTTGAATGAAAGAGTTAAATAAAGATAGGGTAGGTGCTTAGCTCTGCTAAGTGATATGAGAGGGAAGGTTAATATAGCTAATGGTCTTGAAAGAATTTAGATTTTGCATGTCACTGACGAGGTGAGGATCAACAACAGAAAATCCTTCATGCTGTTCATTTCTTAAACTTCAGCAAAGTGCTGCTTTTTCCAAGTTCTCACAAGGCCCAATCACCACCTGTTTTAAGCGTTATGGTCCAACTGCATGAACTTATCAAGTGTAGTGATATCGGCACGCTAGGAAAAGATAGGCACAGCCTCAAATTCAGAGCTGTCAGAGGTTTTACTTTACATGAAGCTAAAGTTATGTATCTTTCTTTATAAACTCTAAACTATAAACATCTAAAACCCCTTTCCCTCTCCTGTGGCTACCAAGTGCAGCTATTATCAATCAATTTATTTGAAAGCCAAATGTCTTTGGACTTTGTCTGACATCAATTTAATGTATGCAGTAGTCAGGTTTTTCATGTGGATATGCAGCACTTGAATTTAAACCCACACTAACCACAAATGTTTTTACCCACAAGAAACCTGCACAGTACCCCATATACAAAAACAGTCAGCTTTTCCAGTCACAAAGATGTTTGGCTCTTGGTGTTCGGTGATGTTATAATTTAATATGACTTTTTTTTACGTACTGTAAGTTTTCGGAAAGCAAGGTTCATAGCATTCTAAAAACATATGCAATGCATGCTAAGAAAGCCACTGATATGTACATGCTGCAATGACAGTTCTGTATTTTGAAAATTTGAAATCTAAGCATGTTATGCATCTTCCAATCTTGGACAGTTAACTGGATACCTGAGATTCTAATATACAGATGATGCTGCTGCTGCACAATTTACGTATTGCACTGAAATTTCCCTTACTGTCTCTAAAAAACAAAAACTAACATTAATGACTATTTCAAATGTGGTAAAGATAATCTATCCCAATTATCCTTCAGATTATCCCGCCAAAAACAGCTGAACAAATCATTACCTCTCTCATCTTCTCTTATGATCCTGAACATTCTGATAACCATCAGCACCCACTGTATTCAGTAAAGTTGACAATATTCTCATCATAAAGTGCCTTGCCAACTGGCTTGGGAATTTATGACTATTCACCATCTGCGATCCGTAACTGTGTGTTGACACCCCTCTATGCCATGACAAAAGGCTGTCAATAATCTTCTCGTGCTGTCTTCCTCTGTCTCTCTTTCCAGTGGTTACAACATGTTCCTTTTCTCATTTTCTAACAACTTGACCAACAAATCTCTGTAAATTTTCTGTAAATCCACATCTCTGAGGCCTCAAGATATTGTTTAGCCTGTTTATTAATTCTCCAGGATTCATAGCCTTATGTTAAAACTGGCTCTATATAGTTTGCAAGAATTCTTCTCCTTACATCTAATGACATGGATTTATTACACAAAATAATCTTCATTTTTTTAAAAGGCAGTTTTGGCTCTTTTGTTCTAAAGAAAATGCCATTGACTATTATACATTTAGGCACTATTCTTTTCTTGAAAATCACCATTACTTCTGTCTTCCCATTTTTCAAACTAAGTCCCATTTTATCACTTTCTATCCCCATCTTATCTATTAATTCTTGAAGTTTTTTCTGACTTTTCGCCATCAAGGCAGTGTCATCAGCATAATGCAGATTGTTTGTGTTATATCCACTAACCACAATTCCTGGAAAATCCATGATGGATCTCATTATATATTCACAGTAGAATGAACACAAATCAGGTGATAGTGCAAATCCTTCTTGCACTACCCTCTTTATGCTCTGAAATTTTCCCAAATGTTATCAATTCTTATAGCCGCTTTTTTCTGCCATTAAATGTTCTTCCTAATTCTTAAATCTTTTCTATCAATGTTTAACTTTTCCAAGTTTTATTATTTCTTTGTGTTTCAACATTAGATCAATGGATGAAGCTACAGTATAACAACATACAGACAGCATGCACTATACACTGTGTTAGCTGTGAGGAGCAGTACCTGAAGGTAGTATGAACAAACAAAAGCTACAGATTTCAACAATTAATTGAAGAAATTATATTTAGTTATGTGCTGGGCATAAATCTTGTGGAAAAATATAACACACAAGTATCTTAAGTGTATTTCCTTGGAAGAACTCACATAGTCGTCACAGGCATCTTTGAAGGCTGAAAGCATCAGCACAGCTAGAAGAGGGATTAGTGTAGTGAATGGTGTCAGGGATGAAACCACTGGCAACATCTGGACTCCATCACAAAAAATTGTTGGGAGCAGGGGGAAAATAATGTCAACAGATCAATACAATTTCCAAAACAACATTCTCACTGCAAATATCAACTGTGAAAAACAAAGGATATGGAAAACAATTTGATACTACAAATTCCTGGTGAAGACACATCATCAACAGTCAGTCAAATCACCGACCTAACAAAGCTCTAAATGAGACAGAATATTAGGAATAAATAATTAAACACACACACATAGACACAATTACAATTGTACAAAAAATATAAATATTTCAGTATTACAGGGCTTAGAATGTGAAGCTCATTATAGACTGCAACAAAAAGGTTAAGCCATTTTGGTTTCATCAAAATAAAACAGAGGGTGTAAAAACATACTAAGACATTTAAAACAATCAATAATAAAAAAAAATTTAGCAATCTCAAAATGTGTTCATCAATTGTTTTACTTTCATGTGATATTTAAATATATACATATACAGAGTGTGTGTGTGCATATGTGAATGTGTATATACATACATAATATATGTGTGTGTGTGTGTGTGTGTAAATATATGTAAATATACGTGTGTGTGTGTATGTGTGTGTATATGTACATACATACATATATGTATATAAACACGTAAGTTTTTTTAAAAATCAATATATATGTATTAGCAATTGGAGGAAAAAACAAATTTACAAAGAATAAAATTCTAGTAAGCTTACTTTAAAATATATTCTACAAGCCTGCTTACACAATATTAATTGTGCTCAAGCTCTCCTTGGCTTCAGGAGTGAAAAGAATAATTAAGCTCATCTGCAGTAATACACCATATAAGCACTGCTATAAGCAATGCTAATAACATACATATAAATATATTACAAAAAAATTCCCTGAAACCAAATGCAACTTGTATAAATATGAAACTATACAAGATATTAAAGGCATATACCAATAGTGAAAGATTGGAAACAGTTTTTTTTTTGTGAGTATTAAATTTAGAAAGACGTTAGCTGATACATTTGAGTAAAACAGAAAAAGTATGCTATAATTAATTTTTTATGTTTTTCAATAACAAAAGAATATTATACTAAACTTGGGTGTAAAAACTGGCTGCAAAAGAATACCCAAAACTGGAGAAAATATCTGGTTTATTAAGGTGATTACTAACTGCCAAAATATAGTCGTAAATTTTCAAACATGTACTATGTGTATGTGACTCATTTGTGCACACACACACAGAAAATCCTATGTACACATTTACACACTTTTTGATTCACCTTTTCACTGAAAGTTATTAAACACCTTTCTCCAGATCTGTTAAACTTTCACAACTAGTTTTTAGCCCTGAATAAACGTATATCAGGTTTTGTTAAAAAAGTCACTGCACATACAATCATTTTCCTAGCTTATTTTGTAATTTCAGTTGGCCAAATTAGCAAATGGTATGCTTTACTGCCCATATAAATAGGGATAAACATTACAAACTGATGTATAATATTTTAAATTAGCTGCAGTAACTTTAAAAACAGTTGTGCTGTATATAATAATTAGCAAATACAATAAAACAAAAAGGAGTACACTGCATACAAATAAAGTAAGACTAGCAAATATGTTAGCAAGGGGAAAACTCCACCGCAAAATGTAAAAACTAAAAGCAGATTTTAGCACAGTAGGGCACCCTGAAAGTTCAGACCTTGACTGAGACCAAGAAGACTTACAAAATCATCAATAGCCTCCTTAATGGCAGATATGCTCAGCACAAAAACCAGAGGTATTATTGTAGCCACAGGTTCCAAGGAAGAGACAGCCGGAATCAACTATTTTAATGATATATCCATAAATGACAAATTAGTGTTTGGCATTCTTGCACAAGCTAACACTGCCCATTGGTATAAAGGGTATTAACTCATTCAGTACAAAATAATACATCACATGTGTATACAACTCCCACAGTAGAACACTAGACCTCTTTACTCACATTTACCGCAACTTCTGGGCACTATGATGGAGTCTCTTAACAATGAAATACCTAAAACCCATGAAGGAAATATTACTAACTAAAGCCAAATACTAACCAATCCAATCCAAAGGTGCTATGCTGATGATGATAATATGCATTCCCCAGTTTTGATGTTCCAGAACTAGTTTATGTACATCCGACTGGCTAATGGATTTGGAGAGCTATATAGCACAGTTTCTGTGTAAATTGAACTTCAGTACTAGGTTGAAATAAGTTTATACACCAATAAAAAATCCAACAGATGTTAGCCTTTTTTCCATAGTTCAAGTGATGTGACCCCTAAGTGTAAGATTTAAGAGTTAAAAACTCAGTCTTTGAGGGGATTCGTCAACCAACAACTATCAATTGCTCTTCAATTTGATTTCTAAGAGCATGCATCTTTCCCATTGCAACATACGCCTGTGAGACCTGGACACTTACTAAACAAGCTGAACAGCACAAAAAAGCCTTTGAATACAAATGTTAGGATGGGTTCTAAGAATATCATAGGTAAAGAAAAGAACAAATGCATCCATACTTCAAAAACTGAATACTGAAGATGGTTGGCTATTAAAGACTATAAAACACAGAAAATTGAAATATTTTGGTCACTTGAAACATCACAAGAGTTTGAAAAGAACAATAATGGAGGGGTATGTGCATGGGAATAGAGGAAGAGGAAGGCCAAAGAGAAGATGGGTGCACGAGGTGGTGAAGTTTTGGGGAAGGTTGTAATGGGAGCAAGGTTCTGCAAAGAAGATGTTACTGACTGACTGGCAATGCATTTATTCCCTCCATATAAAACATTTTTAAAAGTTTATCGCTAGCATTAGTTTAGCAATATTTGATGACTTCCTGAAATGTGAAATGCCTAGATAACATGCTTAAGAGGCCAACAATAATCTGCTATCATGTGGGCATCCCAAAGTCTTCCATTGTTTTTATTTTATTTTTTAATTTTATATTTTGGGGAAATCTTTCATCTTGCTCTTCACTAAAGTCGTCAACAGTCTCAGGAAAGAAATATAAATGCTTATAAATGTAGTGCAATTTTACACTTATGTTGCATCAAAGTTTACAAAAAAGTGACAACATGTTTCCAACTAACTGAAAATAATTTGCTCTTATGTTACAAAGAAAGTTATGCACAACAAAAACAAATGATGACCATGATGTGGACTCAAGCTTAGCAGAAGTGATGCTGTTTTTGTACATGTGCCCTCAACTTTTATCTCAATGTTTGAACATTCTCAGGACTTTTCCAAACTCCTATATCATTCCGTACCTCTGCCAACTAAACATGGCTTGCAAGGTCATTTAAGGGGAAAAAGAGGAAGAACTGGTCTAGAAGAAACATTGATCTCTCAAACTGGAAGAAATGGTCTAGGAGAATCCTAGCACTTCAACCCAGGCAGTGATTCGTGATTCACACTGATGGCAATTCCCCTCCCCCTTTTCTTCCCCAGTCTGATCCATAAAGCTACCACTTTAGTCATAATTAATTGTATTCTTCGTGTGAGAAATACTTTGTTTTTGTTTTTTACACACATATATACATAAGTAATTAAAACTTTGGTAATGCACTGCCAAACTGCTAAAAGCTTAAACTTAAAATTTTATATTTGAAAAAAAAAAAAAGTCATGTAGTGGTTGAACTCAGGACCTTTCGATTGTAAGGCAGACATGATACCAACTCAACTAGAAATTCATTTGAAAATAGGAACTGAAAATAGGACCAGTATTGTAGTACAGTCGGTGTTCGAAACCAAGCAGTTCCCAGGGTTCACCCAGCCTCTAGAAAATGGGTACCATTGACACTCTGGGGTGAATGAAGGAACGTCGCTGTAGCTACGGAGTTACGTGCGGACGACGACACAGGCGGACAGTTTCTTATCAGCTGTCCGTACTGGTGGCAGAGCACTTATGGTTTATAACCGTATGCAATGATGCTGGTTCACATCTTCCGACCTTACCTTTTACACTTTGATAGACACATTCATGTCTGTTGTATAATTTTAATCATCATGTCAGTATGTGACAATACCTTTTTCATCATCATTTGGAATCCAATTCAATACAGCCGATGTAGATGACTGGGTCAGATGGTCAGTCTTGCTGATGCCCAGTAGTACACATGTCCGCTGGCGTACCGTGAAGATAACCCAACTCATTACTCACCCATTTCAAAGTGATCCTGACTATTACTCCTTGAAAGAGACTCCACTAATTCTTCATCAACTTTAATTAACCAATTTTCTTGCTATTTTGTATTTTTTTTTTTTAAGTAGACTAACGCAAAATCAGAAATATATTTCAGGGAACAAAATACACTTTTCACCGACTACACTTCTACAGTTAACAAAACTACAGGATAATGTGGAATGCATCTAAATACACCTAACCGCATGTGATAAGGGTTTTATTTGTGTGTGAATTTGATCAGATTTAGGTAATGTTCATTACCATTTCACCCCCGAGAATTATGCTTCTTAACAATCTGTAAGAAAAGTCGAAGACATATTAATACATTCCTAGCAGTGAGGCACAGAAAACGGAAGACGTATTAATACATCTTTAGCAGTCTACGGGGCGGATTTATATATATGTCCATAGCAGTGAAAGGGTTAAAAGACAGAGCATCATTGATCTTTGATTTATGTTAATTTTTTTTTTTTTAAAGTTCAACAGATAATCATGTTAGATGCCACTCTCCATCCAGCATGCAGTTCAACAAATATGCAAAATATCAAAATGAAGCCTGCATTGAGATGCAGGTAATGTGAGGATAAATAATAGAGAGTGAAATTATCATTATGAAGATATTGACACTATGCAGTTAAATTTAGGATGCATATAAAATTCTTAGGACCGTAAGACTTAAATAAGTCTTCTGAAGTCTATGGCATTATCTTTTCTTCTGATTTTTTTTTTTTAATATTCTTATTTATTCACTTTGACTCTGCAGTCTTTTTTTTTCTTTCTGTTTTTGATTACTGCTAGCTTTAACTTATAAGAATTTTTTTAATGAACATTTTATTCTTGTCAAATACAACTGAGCTAACTGTGTTTAAATAAACTTAAATGTTTTTGTTGCTCAAACAAAGAATTTTTACCACTTTTTTTAAATTATATATCATTTTATATCATATTTTTACAAATTCCTTTACAAATTGTTACACAAAATTAAACAGCATCAACACTGACCGCAGTTTGTAAAGAAGTCTGAAATTTATCAGTCTCATTTTCAAAATAGTAACTGAACAAAACAAACGTTAACAATGAAAACAATTCAAACCTGTAGAACAAGAAGGCCCAAGAAGTAAGCATTGGCCAGTCTTTGAAACTGTTCAAAGAGGTTCTTGGGCAGGAAGGTAAAAATGTTGTACTTGGAAGTTGAGATATAATTGTTCTGTAATCACACACACAATGAGTTTTTACTAAAGTAAATGGAACAAACATTTACTTGTATTTAACCAACACAGCGTATGTATTGACAGAATATCTTTATGCAAAGCATATCATAGAGTAATCATCATCATCAGGTGCCTTGCCGACTGGCGTGGGTGATCATGTGTCTCCATAATGTGCGATCTCCTGCAGCATGTATCAGTTCGTGTGCTGACACACTTCCATGCCATGCAATAAGACTGTCAAGAATTTTCTCTCGTTGTCTTTCTCTATCCCTCCTTCCACAGATCCTTCCAGTGGTCACAACATGTTCCATTTTCCCTCTTCTCATAACCTGGCCAAAAAATGATGACTGTCTCCTTCTCATGTCAGTGATAAGTTGTCTTTGGGCTCCCACCTCTTTCAAATCTTTTTAACTGTCCAAGGTATTTTAAGCATTCTTCTGTAAAACCACATCTCTGAGGCCTCAAGAAATTGTTTGGCCTGCCTATCGATTGTCCAGGACTCACAGCCATATGTTAAAACTGGATGTATGTAGCAAGCAAGAATTCTTTATCTAACCCTCAATGACAGAGATAAGATGTTCTTCATTTTATAAAAATAAAACCAAGGCAATCCTTTTTGAGATGAAACCTGTAAACTTCATAGAGAAATCAAAGTCAATAGATGTTGGACTTAAAACAAGTGACAACGGGCAATCTTGTTGAACTACAGAGATCAAAATCTGGATGGCGCCAGCATTTTTATGATTCCATCATCTGTTTATTTATAAAATGTTTTTGTGCAGAACATAAAGCAAAAGTATAGATCTGTTATTGTCTCAGCTGTTCTCTCTATTAATAATTAGTGTTCAAAATTGGTTTAATGCATTATTTGTCAGTTTGCCTTCCAACAATTTATAATTTTTTTTACTAGTTTTATTCTTTAAGTTTCTTGACTTTCTTTGCATTATAATAAGTTTGATGATGTGGTTTATTAGGTTAGCAGTATGATATTATTCATAATCAGTTGCTCTTAGTCTTCTGAGTATAAACAATAAATAAATATCAGCTTTACATAGGACACACATATATAGTCAATATGCCTGTTTATTTGATCATTTCATTTCTCAATTCTCAGTGTTTCCGACTCTGCCATGTGCCTGGAATTGTTCCTTTCTTCATTTGTTTAATACATGATCAGTGACATTTTTAGCTGGCACTGGTGGGCCTTCTATTTACTTTATACTGTCAATCTGAAGGGATTGCATGCAGCCTAGGTCGCACGACTGTATGTAGCATATATTACATGATGCATGTAGTCATGCGACCTAGGCTGAAGCTGTTGGGGGGTGGGGGGTGGTTAGGGCCAGTTCAACATCTTTTGTCGGCTGTTTAAAGTGTTCATTTACTGGAATATAGGAAATGCAATATCACTGCTAGCGCCGGTCACACCTTCCTTTCCCCTTCAGTCTGTCAAATGATCTTACACCTGGTCCGAGGTCGTCTAAAAACATCTCATTCTGAAATCTTAGCCCTGGCCTACAGTTCAAGAAAAATAATCCCAGTAACCTGCCCCTAAGGTTCTGGCCAGAAAATAATTAATATCCAGTAACATAGTACCACAAAATGAACGGAGGCAAATAAATCTGTTATGCCCCAGCTAAAGATGGACGAGGTAGTGTTACAGTAAGATGAAGACAAAGGCGACACTATCCTGCACAGATTTCTCTTGCAGACGGAAAAGACAGATAGGGAAGAGAGGGAGCAGATGAAACAGAGATTACACAATATCCACATGGCTGAAATGGGTGAAGATGATGATACAGTATACATCACAACTGATTGCATCAAAGCAACACTGAAGACCTGTCTAGACACAGCTCCAGGGCCTGATGGCATTAGATACAGAGACTTCAAAAGCCTTGATGAGAAAGATATGGATGAATTATCCATGATATTGAACAACACCATGAAAACTTGCATCATCCCTGATGACTGGCTCCATAGCTACCTCAGACCCATTCCTAAGCCAAGGAAAGACCACACGATAATAAATGGCTACAGAATCATCACACTCCAGAACACTATAGGAAAACTCATTGAAAAAATTGTGTCTAGAACGTTGACCCAAACTTTGGAATCAGGTGGTCTATTCCCTGCTACACTAGGTGGTTACTGACCATGAAGGAATATTTGGTGCACTGCTGAAGTTTTTACCTATGAAACATATGAAGGTTTCCAGCAGGGAATATAAATGGCTGTAGCCGCTATTAACTTAGAAGATGTGTACAACAGCGTCCCATACACCACGCTCATCAGACTTCTGTTGGATATGCAGATAGAAACAAAATTGGTCAACTGGATAGCAGCAGCACTATTCGAAAGAACAGTCTCGCTTTGATGTGGTGAATGGGCATTCAAACCTCAACGCGTCCTAATGGGTCTCCCCCAGGGATCACCATTGTTGCCTGTGCTCTTCAATGTGTACACAGCAGGAGTCACGAGTGCACAAAGCATAGGCCTAGGCAGAACAATGTCGTATGCAGATGATATCCTTGTGTACCGTCGATGTAAAAATAGGCACAAAATTACAACCACAATACAACATGAACTAGACAAACTGAGTGGTGCCAGGAATCAAGAGCTCAAGTGAACCCATCCAAAGCCTCCTTAACATGGTTCTCTCTGAATACCGACATCGTCAGTATACCAGCACTAATCACAAGAAGCATGTATGGTGTGGTGTGACGAAACGACCTTAGTGATTTCAGAAGTTAGTACAGGTAATAATTTCTTCTGTTTATAAGAGACAGGGAATTATATTTACTATGCCTTAAACAGAATATTATTAAAACCACATGGACTTAATTGTTACCAGTCCTTAGCCCAGACAAAACAACCAAGCTTTGGTTAATATTACATAACATTACCTAATATAGCCCGCTGGTCTACCTGGGAAAGTTCAGACATAGTGGCTGTAGGGTTTGATTGTAGAACTGAAGTGTCATATAATTATCTTCTGACCAGAGAACATTAGGGGCAGGTAATTGCTCATAAACTAATTATTCCCCCTGAGATAATCTTCCTTGAACTGCAGACCAGACCCTAGTATCATAAATGTTACACTGTCGGCCCTTTCAATAGATAAGATAAGGGGGAATTAACTTGGTCAAGTAGGAAACACAATGGCTTTCCTGACCGTCTTTTCACACCTGTCAGTGACACGGTCCGGGACTAGATGTTTACCACTTAAGAATGTTTGATCAGAGGGGTGTCAGTAAGAATTGACTGACAGGCACGTTGATAGCTAATTTTATCTGCAAGGTACTTCAGGGGTGTGGCTTAAATTACCTCCTGTAGGGTAGGTTAGACACTAGAAAGAGGAGGAGTTAACTTTGCTAGTATACTACTAGCATTTTAGATTTACCTCATAGTGCTGCCAGTAAGCCACAAACTCAGATCAACGATAAAAAGTAATTCCAACTGGTTGAGTCCTGATTGGCAATTGCTGAAACGTTCCCAGGTATGATTGTATATTATTTTTAATCTTTTATTCATAGGTTAGGAGCTAGCTTAGTCTATTCTTCCTTTCCTTATTTTTCTACACATTCTGCTTGAAATAGTTCTTTGTGAGTATTCGGTTATCTGAGTTAGGGAACTGCTAAACCATTCCTATTTCTTGTATGTTTGTATTACATGTTTTCATGTGTATAAAATAAGATGTGAACAATGAAATTTGCTACAATGAAATATAATTATATTGTTTCAATTATCAACCCAAAACGTGCTTGGACTGTGGGAAAATCATGCCTACATGTGCAGCCACGTGGTTGCATTTTGATAGCTCTCCATGTGCTCACTGGAAAGACAATATTCCAGACAACATGCACATATAAAATGGTCTGAGTTTTCAGCACATAGCCTGCTCCACGTGTTCATGTAAAAACAATGTCTAAAACAGACTAGACTGGGGAAAATGTGAACATGAGGAGGAGAGATTAAATATGTTTTTATCAGAAAATGCATGCTTGGTGTAGGTCTAGATACTAAACATTTGTGCTTGTTTTCGTTATCACAGATCCCATCAGGGGTAAAGACCGATTAGCACATATCAGAAGGAGAGAGTCCAGTATACAACTGGTTTGAAGCAGTGAGGACGACAGGCTAGGAATAGATAATCATGCAGAGATCTGTCTCAGGTTTACAAGTTATATCACGTTTATTGTTCACAAGAACACTGTAACATCATCCTCACTCTACTATCATATGCACATACTAAGCTCATTGACTGACTCATTACCATCACTTTTATGATTGCAAGATCAATACCATTTGTTTTTCATTCGATTGATTCAATAAAATCATGTTCACGTTTTGTCAACGGATAGTTTGTTAACTATGATTCATAGTTCCAAGCGGCTGTGTTTGTAATTTCTGTAATTTAACATTTTAGCTCTAAAGGAGTAAACAACATATTATCACAGTTGGTGGGGGCATTCATTAATAATTAATATTAGGACAGGAGAAAGTCGGAGAGTTAACTGTGTGTCTTGATATTCTCCTCTTGAATTACTGATCCCAGACAAAGTCCTGGATGACCAAGAAAACAGCAAAAGTGGTTCGTAGAATAAAATTAAAATAGCTGTACTTGTATCCACAGGAGTAGGAAAGGGGCAGTTAGACATCAAGACTAATTTAAACAGAGAACATCAAGACACACACCCTCCGACTTCCTCCTGTCCTGGTATTAATTTATAATGAATGCACTCATCAAGTGATTTACATATAAGTGAGTTGAGGTAAATTAGTGTGCACAAAAACACTTGGAACTTAAGTACACATTTACCCAACTAATATTTCATTATAACTAGAAAAAAGATTTTACTGAATTCATCTAAACAAACAAAAATGGATGGTATTGATCTTGCAATCATAAAAGATAAAGCACAGTGATGGTAATAATGAGTTAATTTGGTGAGTTCAATACATGCATATGACAGTACAGTGAGGATGGTGTCGCAATAATGATATTGCTTTTGAATTACCACATAACTTTAAAGAGGAAGGTGTGGGGTGGGGAAGGGGGGGGGGGATACATATGTTCTAAGCAAATAGAGTTGTGGGGGTCCAAAGAGTCTAATCCTGTTTTAAAAGCATAATAATAATATCAATGTGTGACTGGTAAATAAATTTAATAATATATGGGAAATTATATGAAATGCATAAACAAATACTTTCAAAGAGAATTTCTCTACAAAGTTAAGGGGACTGCTTAGCTTCCTTACAAAGTTATTGGGAAGTGGGGAGGGGAAAAGGGCAAGGGCCTGAGTTCCCGGGTACTATTACCTATCTACTGGATAGAGTGAAATTAATGAATTGACAAGACCTTGGTAAAAATGGCACCGCTTGATAATGATGACGATGACTCAGTCAATTTGATTTCCTGCCTTCCTGTCAAAGTTTTTCCATGTATACAGTCATCTTTTATTTTATTTAGACTAAGTATTTCCCAATCAAGGTATAACTTATTTTTGTTTACTCTATTAGTTTTTAATTCAGTTTTACTGCATATACCTAAATCATAGTCACCAAAATCTTCAACTGTCATTTACAGTCATCATGAAAACATATTTGTATGTTGGTTGTCCTCTTGATATTCATACTTCCCTTAATCTGATCTTCCAACAGTAAATAGCTTTTATTTCAAACAGTTTTTGCTTGAGCTATTCTGTTCTCAATCACTGTCATACATCTTCAAAGTGATGTTGTGACTGACCAAAACATCTGAACTGACTTATTTAAGACTTTATCTTTCTTGTGTTATATTAAATGTATACATATATATTTACAGACAAACATACATGTGTTCACATGCATATGCACAAAACCATTTTTCCATTATAAATCATTTGCTATTCCTATCTCAATATAGTTGCTGTATGTCTCATTTGATATACAGGAATGTATTTTCTCCCAATAACTTATTAGTGTACTTTACTTATAATCAACAAGAGTTATATAGCGAGCCTGAACTATGTCACTCTCATACTTACTGCATACTGAAATTGTGCATTGAAAACTGGATCATTTACTCTGATGATACGTTCAATTTCTGTGGATTTAAAAAAATTAAAAAAAATAGTGAGGGCGACTTTAGTGTTTACAAAGTTTCAGAAGGTTATAAAAACAAGCAGTAAAAATTTTTACAAAACTGTAAAAGAATGTTAAACTGTTAGATTCTGGAAAACAAGACCTAAACAAATTGAGAGAAATAATGTTGCTATAGTTGTTGAAATTTCATTAAAAAAAATCAAGATATTCTCTTAAGTAAGTTCTTTGGTTATGTGATGAGAAAAGGAACATTGGAAAATACTGTGCCTGAAAAGATCACTGGTAGAACAGGAAGAGGCAGACCAAGTGATGTGTTAGTGGATGACTTAAGATATGGCATGGTGGAATTGATCCAGAACACCAAAGACCGAGATCTATGGAGATGCATGTGTGGTCTGGTAACTTCAGAACATGTTTTTCCCAACATAATCTTTGTCAAGGTATTTTAAGTTATAGAAGAAAAGATGCTCCTGGACTGTAATATAAATCTAGGTTGACCCAAAAAAAAGCTATTTAATATCCCTGGACTGCAGTTGATATTAAACACTCAGGCTTTTGCCCAGAGGTAAGGTGTCACGAATCCAGATAACACTGACCAGGCAGGCTTTGTGGCACCACTGAGGTGGAAAGTACAGAGCACCTAGCTTGTAGTATAAGAAAATTTTAGAGGCCAGACCCTTAGGGGCAGGTAACTCATGATAAAAGTAATTTTCTCCACCTGAGATTAACCCACTTAAACCACCTGAGTGCAGGTCAGATGGCTGGAGGAAGGTGTGACTTTGTTTATGACCATACCAAGCTTGATAGACAATAGGAATGTAACCCAGTCAGACTGCCTTTCTGACTGACAGGTCTTTAGTGAATTGATTGACCCCAAGGTAAGGAGCTTTGCCATTCCTTGACTGCTAACTGAGATGAGGAAAAAGAATAACACTGTGAGGGGTTTTGAATTCAATTCAGACTGCTGCCAGCAAAGCCACCAACTAAGTGCTGCACTAGAAAGTTACCCTAGCTGTGTAAGTCTTTTTTGGCAAATTGCTAGAATTTTTTCAGGCATGACTGAATAGTATTTCCACTCTTTTATTCATCTGTTTGGAGTCTAGCTATGCCATTCTATCTTCCCTAAATTATCTAACTGCAATTCGCTTATAATATTTCTTTGTGAGTATTCAACTATCTCAGTTAGGGAGCTGGTAAACCGTTCTTTTTTTCTTGTATGTCTGTATTACATGTTTTTCAGTGTATGTTTTCATGTTTATAAAATAAGACTTGAACACTAATACTTATTTTAATTAAATGTAATGAAATTATAATTTTTCAATAACAAAACCATGTGCCTTGATTGTTAAATGATGCTGACATGACCCCAAAAAAAATCTGCCCAAGATGGTGGCATAAACAACGTCCGCCAAAAATTATAACAAAAAGATGTGTTTATTCCTGGAAAGAATTTTAAATGTGTTAGCTTAGTGTAGTTATTCAGTTGAAGACGAATTTGTGACAGGCCTGGCAAGTTGGCGGAGGATTCAGTGATTCAAAAAGAAAATCACAAGATTAAATTAGGAGATGTTTTAGAAAAAAGGGAAAACAGAGGCCAGCAGAAGGTTAAGACCAGGGTAGGGACAATCAATATATGTGGATGGGGCAATAAAAAGAATAAGTGATATAATTATACATATATTATATATATTCTATAGGAGAAACTACAAGAATACCTAGATATGCTGATGACCTTGATATCGTTGGAGATAATGAACTAGAGATTGTTAAAACACTGACTGTGATAAAAGAATTCGCCCAGAAAATGGGACTAATTATCAATCAAGATAAGACAGAATACATGATAATAACTACACAGGGAAAGGATATGAACTCCGGCCACATGTAAGTCAATGCTATGAAAATCAAACAAATGGAAACATAAGTACTTAGGTGCAAACTTCAACTGCTCCAACACGCTGAGAGAAGAAATACAATCTAGAATAAAATCTGGAAATAAAGTATACTATGCCCTTCAACATCTGCTAAAGTCAAAGTGTCTGTCTCGCAATGCCAAAATCAAAATATATCAAACGTTGATTAGACCAGTCATTTTATATGGCTCTGAAACTTGGAGCACAACTAAAAGAGATGAAGCCCTATTACAGGTTTTCAAAAACAGAGTCTTACGACGAATCTTTGAACCCAACAAAGATGCAAACAGCCGTGAATGGACAGTAAGAAGCAACAACGAAATTCATAATTTGTTTAAATCACCACTGATCACTAGCATCATGAGAGCTAACAGCCTGAAATGGTTGGGGCATATTGAAAGAATGTCAGATGACAGAGAAGTAAAAACTGTATACACGAGGGAGATGAATGGTCGTAGACCATGAGGTAGACCAAGAAGACGATGGAGAGATAATATCCAATCAGACCTGCAAACACTTGGTGTCATCAACTGGAAAGAGAAGGCCAACCAGAGAGATGAATGGAGGTTAATGATATCTGCAGCAATGAACCCCAAGGGCTCGGAATGCTGAAGAAGAAAAAGTGATAGAATGAATGGAGGAATATGTTAAAGCATTAAGCTTATCACAAGTGAGAATGAAAAAGGACGAAGAATGACAGAACTACATACAAATAAAGTTTTGATACAATTGGGAGTAGAGGAAATACAATATGCAAAGCATGGAGTGGGATTTATCATCGATCCCAAAACTGCAAAAAATATACTCGAGATTAACTACATCTCGGAAAGAATTATAAGCTTGAAATTACAAGTAGGATATAATTCAGTTTTTTTTTTTTAAATAAATGAACCGTGCAATGGAAATTACAGAAAGGAGGATTTAGATCAATTCTTTGAGGACCTGGATGACGAAATTTGTAAGTTAGATAATAACGAGAAACTGATCGTGATGGGTGATTTTAACGGTAAGACAGGACGAGACAGAAGAACATTTACAAGATACCTAGGCTTTTATAGAGACAACAGCATTAGAAACAAAAATGGTGAAAGACTGTTGGATATGTGCACAACATGACCTTGTTATTACCAACATCTTCTTCAAAGAGCTTCATAAGTTTTTACGTGGTATAAATGGAATGACCCAGATACTGAGAGTCAGATTAATTACATCTTGATGAGAAAAAGAGACTTTCATGAAGTTACAGATTTCAGAGTTATACTAAACTTGAGTGTAGATACAGATCATAGGATGGTTATACTTGACAGAAAAGTCAGGATAATTTATCAAACAAGAAAGAAATGTCATAAAAGTGACATAATAAAATGGAAAGAACTTGAGTGTGAGGAAAATAGGCGAGCAAGAATTACAGGAAAATTATGAACAGCTTCCACAAAACATACAGGGGTAAATACAAAATGGGTGAATTTCAGAGACACAACTATGAAAAACACAAGAAATATGTGGAACTAAAAAGAAAGGTAACATAGGGTGTAAGCTCTCAACATGGGGGTCTAAAGAAATAAGAAAAATTGTGAGGAGTAAAAAGAAAGCCTATTGCATTTGCCTAAGGAGTGGAACAGAAGAGGATTACATTACATACAGAATAATTAGAACAGAAGTAAATAGAACTATCAGACAAGCAAGAAGAGATTCATGGGAAAAGTTTGGAAGCAAGAAGAAAGAATAGCAGTGAAAAACCAATACAAAAAAATCATAGGCATGAGAAACAGGAAGGAAGAATACAACCCAACAAAAATTATAAATGATGAAGATGGCCAACCTTTATTAGAACCTAACTAAATTTTTAGCAAGGTGGAGTAATTACTTAGCTGCAATAAAACAGATAAAAGTAGGGAAGAAAATATAAACAGCTCGGAACTAACGGCAGATGAATGAGAACCAGGTATATAGTTAGATGAAGTAGAATATGTCATTTGTACCGCCCCTGGACTAAAGGTGACAGGTATTGATGATCTACCAGCTGAAGCCATCAAGGCAGCAAGAGAAGTGGGAGCAATATGGTTAAAGAGAATTTTTCAGGTGGCATGGGAAAATTAAGAAACACCATCAGATTGGCAAACTGCTGTCATCGTCTCGCTATGGAAAAATATAGAAAGTAAGAGGGACTGTACTAATTACAGATGAATATCGCTTCTCAGTCCAACTGGGAAAATGTATGCTAAGATCATCGAAAAAAAAAGCTTAGACCATTGATAGAGTATCAACTTTCAGAAGCACAGATGGGCTTTTGATGAAACAGAAGTTGCACAGATGCCATTTATTTATTGAGACAACTACCAGAGAGAGCAATAGAACTTGATTAGACATGTTTGTTGATATTCATAGACCAAGAAAAAAGCCTTTAATAGAGTCAACAGGAATATGTTGTGGGAATTTATGGGGGGAAAAGGGAATCAGCAATCATCTCATTCATATTTGCAAAAGCCTGTATACACGTAGTAAATGCTGCATAAGATCGAAAGGCAGGAAATTGTATAGTGAACTCTGGTGTGCGTCAGGACTGTGTACTATCGCTGATTCTTTTTATAACATACATGGATACCATATGGTAAAGCCTGGCCAAGATGGCGGAATAAGCTGCGGCTATCACTATGCAGTTTTGATAAATTTTGTTTTAGGGGATTTCCATCAAATTATTGTTCAAACAAGGATGATCCAACGACAGGCCCAGCAAGCCGGTAGGGGATTTGTTTGTTCAAGCACCATTGCTCAAGATTTATGGTGTATTTTGAAGAAAAAGCGTGATTACACCAGCGCTTCAAACCGCCACACACAAGACAGAGTCATGAAAGAAACACCGGCCAAGATAGACAGATCCGGCACGACAGTTTTTAAGATGGCTACATGGAACATTTGTGGTATGGGGGTTAAAGTGGCTGAATTGGTTGAATTTATGATTAAGAGTAAAATCAAAGTATTGGGAATTGCTGATATCAGAAGAAAAGCTCAAGGCGTCCAGAAAATTCATAAGAACTTTGTTCTGATTTGGAAAGGGACTCAACCACAAGAAACTAATAAACATGGA